CCCCAGCGCCGCCCGCCGCGGGCCCAGCGCCGCCAGCGCCGCGCCGCGCGCCCAGCGCCGCCGCCCAGCGCCGCCAGCACGCAGGCCCAGCGCCGCCGGCTCCGCGCCTCGTGCCCGCACGCCGCTGGCCCTCGGGCCCGTGCCGCCAGCGCTCCGTCCTCCTCCTCCTCCCCCGTCCGTCCGTCCGTCCGTCCGACCTCCTCCTCCTCCTCCTCGTCCGTCCGTCCGTCTGTCCGTCCTCTTCTTCCTCCTCCTCCACCGCCTTCTCCTCCTCTTCCTCCTTTTGTTCTTCTTCTGGCCGCGTACCAGCACTTGGGTCGGACGGCAAGGGGGGATAGGGAAAGGCGTGGGGTGGTTCAGAAATCTGCTGCGTGCAGCCAGTTTCGGCCCGCCGCCGGATGCATCTCTTGGATACGTGTGGAAATCAACCACGTGAGATGATTCGCTGCCCCCCCTGTGTTACGCCCCTTTGTCGTCGGACCTGAAGCATGCCCGTGCCCCCCCGCCCCACCCTCCCTTGCTGGCACACGACGACACCCTGCGCGGTGGGCCTCCCAGACCCACGGGCGCGGGCCCTTGCTGCAGCGGATGACCTGCGCCAGCTGCGCCGGCGTGGCGGTTGCGCTGGCGGAATCCCTTCAGGGAAGCAGCTGGAGGGTGGTAGGCTCACGGGTGCAGCATCAACCCCCAGGGGCCGATCGACCGCCCCGCCCAGGAAGGCGTGTATTCGTAATCGAGGGCCTTTCGCCGATCTATCGCCGGAGTATCACCGATTCCAGGTTCATGCTCCCCCACACCTCCGGCCCCTTCGCCCTTTTCGTCCCCCCTCACCCCGCCCGGACGCGCACGTGCGTGGCGTGGTCGGAGGTGCGTGCCTTGGCGGCTTCGTGCGCAGTCCTGCCCGAAGGTCTCCCGAGGCGCCACCGATCGCGGAGCAGGGCCCCCGCCGATGCGGCGCGGCTGCGCCACTTGCCGCGAGACCTCGGCCCGCCCACGCGCGCGCGCGCCCAGCAGTGCAGTGAGGCGCCAGTCCAGGCGCGGAGCGAAGCCACTCCAGCAGCTGCGGAGCGAGACCCCCGCAGATGCGACGCACGACGCCTTCCCCTCTGAAGGGGGGCCGCGGAGACGGCAGAGGCGGAGGAGGCCTCTTCTCCCAGGGCACATGCGGGGATGGGATTTGGGCGGCGCGAGCGCGCATTTCAGTACCCCACCCCCGGCAGTACCGATGAGGGGCTGGGATGCGCGCGCGATATCAGGTAAAAGCCCGCCGCTCGCCGATCCAAGAAACCTGCGCGGACCTCCGAAATGGATGCTTTTTCAGTCTTGTCTTCGATCTTCCACGGGCCTCTGCTGGGGTGCTCCTTGACCAGAATGTCGAGGCGAATCCAGCAGTGGGGACGAAGGCTCTCCAGACTGGACAGCCGTATCGGTATATCTTTCTCCGCTGACTCTCCGCGTGACGCAGCCCCTCCCCCCTCCCTCTCTTCTCTTCCCCTCCTTCCCGGCGTTCCTCTCCGCCCATGCGCGCCCCGTGTCCGCCCAGGCCCGCCAGGTCCACACGGTTGACTACTTGCCCAGCGTCATCTAGCCTTTGCCGTAGGCTCGCGGAGCGGCATATTGGAGCTGCCTGGGCGGGCTGTCGTCCAGGACGTCCTCGCTACCTCCCCTTTTTCCTCCCTCTACCGTCCTCCGTCCTCCCTTCTGTTCTGTTCCCTCCTGCGACCTCCCTGGTCCTTTCTCCATGTCCCCCCCCTCCCTCCTCCGACCTCCCTGCTGCGCCTTGGCCCTCTGCCCTCCTCTTTCCTTTCCCGCCTCTCGTCCACTCCTTCTCCTCCGTGATTGCATGTCTTCTTCTCCGCTCAGAAGGATGGGATGAGGAGGCTGGGCCTTGCGCCCGACAGTGGAAAACAACGCGCAACCGAGTGGAACGTCATGACCAGAGTTCTCCACTCAATACTCATGCGAGAGCTCTAATGACGGATGGCACCGCGCCGACACGCGTTGAGCCTGGCCATCGCAGCGCTGCGGTCGCGGTGCTCCGCGGGGGCGAGCGCCTCGGATGCGACGAGCTCGTCCGAGGGAGGCTTGGCACCGCTCGGACGTGTGCAATTTTTTCTCTGCGAGAACCATCGAGGACCATCCTGGACCATCGAGCAAAAAAAACACGCACGAAACCCAACTATGCAGGGGAAATGGACGTCCGAGCGACGGCAAGGAGGAAGGAGGACGGAGAAGGGGGGGAACATTTGCCTCCTCCTTTTCCCTCCTCCCTCGTCATCCTGCAGCTCCTCCTCCTGCCCGTCCTCTAGCTCCTCTACCTCCTCCTTCCTCGTGGAGAGAGAGCCCGTCGAGACGGATCGGGGGAGGAACTCCGGTCCGGAGTCCGACGGATGCGATCTCTTCTGGCTTCACCTGCGTCGAGCGCGGTCCATCATGACCTCCCCTCCCCTATCTCGTGTCATTCCTGCTCGTGCTCCTCCTCCCTCCTCCAGTCCTCTTCCCTACCCTCCTCTGGCGTTAGCGGACCTAGTGCAAGTGCGAGTTCCAGGCGCTCCGCTTTGCCATGCCTCTCCCACTGCAGGGCAGCCTCTGGTTGACCAGGGGGCGTAACTGTTGTTGTTTTTTGATCCCTGCGGCGGGAATTTAACACCCGACTGCACCGGTCCTGGCCATGCCCATCCGGGCCCCAGGGTCGGTGTACGCAGGTGACTCAACCATGGCAGTTTGAGATGTGCAGGGCTGCTTCTCCGTACGGTCGGCTCTCGTTTTTCGGTGTGCTCTGCTGGGCCAAGTCGGCGGGCCGTGTCGCAGGCCGCAGGAGGAAAATCTGGATGGGAGAGGCGAGCAATTGAAGGGAGGAACCGGATCGAAGATGGTTTGGCCCAGCGACTCACCAAGCACGGTCTTTACAGCAATGGCGACCCCAGTCGTCACATGCTTTAGGCTTGGTGTAACCATGTACGCGCGGGTAGCTTTTCATCCCCTCGTTTATTAGAATCCTGAGGCGGGTGCTGGGCGAATACCTCTGCGCTAGTTTGAATACAGTGTTGTCTGCACATCCTGCGTGTCGGCCATGTTTGCTCTGAACCATGAGGGTTCAATTATTATCGAAGACGCCTACGGCGAACCACCACCGCCCCTTGCCTATTGCAGACGACCATGCGTCTAATCGTTGGGCCAACGTCTTGCCAAACTATTAGAGAGACTATCTGGTCCCCCAGCCCAGAGAGAGAGAGAGAGAGGGAACAGGAGGATGTATCCCCCCTTACCCCAATCCGTTGTTTGGGGGTGCGGGGAGGGGGGGGGCATATGTGTATATGTATATTTTTGTATATATAAATAGATAGGTACAGGTATACGTATATGTATGTGTATATGTATGTATGTATGTATATATATATATATTCCCCAATCAGAGCTTGCCTCTGTAGGGGTCCTAGCGGATTCATACGGTAAGGTGAGGTGCGTCCCCGATTTCCGCGGCCCGCCCGGGTGCCTGGGTGCCCCGGCGCCCAGGTGCCTTATAGCCATATAGCCCTATAGCCCTTTAGCCTATAGCGTTATAGCGTTATAGCCCTATAGCCCCATAGCTTAACGGCCCTATCGCCCAATAACCCTATAGCCCTACAGCCCTATAGCCGTATAGCCTTATAGCCCTATAGCCCTATCGCCCTAGAGCCCTATAGCTCTATAGCCCTATAGATCTATAGCCCTATAGCCCTATAGCTCTATAGCCCTATAACCCGATAGCCCTATCTCCCTATAGCCCCATAGCCGTAAAGCCCTATAGCCCAATAACCCAATAGTTCAATAGCCCTATAGCGTTATCGCCCTGTATCCCTATATCCCTATAACCTTCTAGCTCTATAGCCCTATAGCCTTATAGCCTTATAGCCCTATAGCCCATAGTTCTATCTGCCTATAGCCCTGTAGCCCTATAGCCCCGTAGCCCTATATCCCTACAGCCGTGTGGTCCTCTAGCCCCAGATCCCCATAGCCCTATAGATCTATAGCTCTATGGCCCTGTAGCCCTATAGCCCCATAGCCTCATCGCTCTACAGCCCAATAGCCCTATAGCCCTAAAAGGACTTTGATTGGGTTTTCGCCCGTATCATATATACATGTATGTATATATATATATATATATATATATATGTATGTATACATATCTACACGTTTATGCATGTATATACGCGAATGTCCACCGTGGGGGCCGCGCCGTGCCGACTGCTACGACAAGAGCAACGCCCCAGAACGGCCAGCCATATTCCGACTTCTGGACGAAACGCTGCGGCAACGCAGTTCCGAGCGACAGCGAGCCCGGCAGAACGGGGCAGCGCGAATTCCTGCGCGTCCAGCGGAACCACCACGACGATGATAACGGCCTCGCGCGCGCCCACCACCCCGCGGAACGGGATCGCCGCGTCGACGAGCAGACCCGCCACAAGTGGCGGGCGTGGGCGCCGACCCCACGACGCTGGCTAGCAGCCGTGGCGTCGCGCGAGCAAGGTTCAGGAAACTGGGCCTGACTGGAAGTCCTGGCGCCAGGGACCTGCAGGCGAACTCCGAGGGGTTTCCTCTTCAGATGCGGCTATGGTCACCTCCTTCAGGAAGACGATCTGGCGATATTCGGCGCTGGCTGCGCCTGGAGGCGTGCCTAAGCCGATGCCACCATCCAGAAGGCCCCCTGGCAAGCCGTTCGGTACTCTTTGCGCCTAACTCAGGATCAGATCCATCAGGTTCTACGTCAGCTAGCTCAAGACCCATTAGTCGTGAACGAGTGGATGATGCCACCCGTGTAGACTATCGATCTCATCCACATCCCTGCAGGTGAGGACAGATCCCGGAAGACAAGGAGGACAGCGCCACCAGGTACCTGCTCACCATCGGATGACATTGAGGTGGATGACACTTTCGCCATCCAGGTCGGCCAATCCGATGACGCGGACGCCTGCGCCACCCGCGGGGAAAAATACGGGTTGAGTATCGTGAGAAGTGCGAGGGCGATGGGCGCAATCTGTCGAACAACTACACGCTGAAAGGCAACGAGAAACTTGCGTCCAAGGCAAAGATGGCGGTGGTCTCGAAGAACCTGACATTTTTTCCCGAAGGAGAAGGGCTACTGAGTGTCCGAAGATCTCACATCGACAACGAGGGGTCGAGCCAACAGCGGCGCTGAAAACTTTATTTCAATCGTCTAGGCGTTCCCATCCTCTCATATCCCTAGCAGAAGAGCCTAAGCGATCGGCGCATCTGGGCCCCCCGAGCTCGTTCATCGCGACTGGGGGAATTCGCGTTGCCTCGTGAAGGCGGCGACTCAGGTGGCGACCCAGCTCCGCGAGAAGCCGCGCGGCGATCGCCACATGAGCCAGGGGGACATGAAGAAAGGAGGCGGGGGACACCGATTCTTTTCAGGGACTGGCGCCTCCAGTTCCAGAGCTCGTAGAACCTGGGATCAGGAAGAATTGCGCATCGTGCTGAGCGTTGCCAGACGTTCCCGCGGGTTCTTTTCCGCGGCGGTATTGCGAGGACTTCGACATCAACGTCGGCGCGGACGATTCATGTACGGCGCCTGGGGTGTTCCAAACCAACCGGACTTTCTCAAACCAAGCGGGTATTGTCAAACTAAGCCCCCGGGTCTTCCCAAACCAACCAGGTCTTTCCGAACCCAGCCGGTCTTGCCAAACCAACCGCGTCTTGTAGGGCTTCAGATTTTGAGAATGATTTCAGGGGTCCTGGGTTTGTGGGGTATTTGGAATGAGGTGCGAGGGGGCACCAGGGTTTTGGGCTCGCGGGCTTGTGGGGCTTTCGGATTCGAGAGGGATTTGATGAAGAGGGGCTTTGGGGCTCTGGGGTTGTCGGGTCGTCGGATTGTCGGCGCCGCGAGGGGAAATTTGCGGGGCTCCGGGGTTGTCGGGTTATGGGGTTTTCGGCTCCGAGGGAGAAAATTGGAGGGTTCTGGGATTGTGGGGTTGTAGGGTTGTAGGGTTTTCGGCTCCGAGCGCGAAAATTGATCTGCTCTGGGCTTGTGGGTTTTCGCCCCGAGAGGGGTTCGAGTGGCTTCGGGTTTGTGGGGTTGTGGGGTTGTGGTCTTCTCGGCTTCGAGAGAGCAAATTGCGGGGCCCACGGGTTGTGGGGTTGCCAGGCCCCGGGGTTTCCGGCCCCGAGAGAAATGCGAGAGGCTCCGGGGTTTAGGCTTGTGTTTTTTTCGGCCCCGAAAGAGAAAATTGAAAAGTCCCGGGGTTGTGGGGTTGTGGGGTTTTCGGTTCTGAGAGAGAGTCCTGGGCATGTGGGGTCGGGGTTTTGTGGGTTTTCGGCTTTGAGAGAGAACGTCGAAAAGTTTTGGGTTCGCGGGGTTGCGGGGCGCGTGGTGGCGGGGGAAAAACCACGACCCGCAGCGTTCAGATGCTCGGCCTTTTCTGGCCAAGGTCGCAAGGATAGGTCGGCTCGGCCCCCGGGGTGGTGGAAATCAGGGGCCCGTGGGGCCTGTCGGATTTCCAGGGGCCCTGCGGCTTCGGGGCCCGCTGGCGCTTTGAGTGTGTCCGACCTCCAGGGGCTGCCGCGCTGTGGGCGGGGCAAGTTTTGGGCCTTCTGGAGGGCCCAGGAACGCCCTGACCACCCCCGATGCGTTCGCGGGGACCCCCTCCCTCTCGTTTCCCCCGACGACGTGAGAAAAGC